CTAAAAGGATAAGAACGAGATTGAACCGAGAAAAAGCCTCATATCTCTATAAAGCCATCATCCTTTTGCTCATTCTTGGACAAATAGAGTATCCTGGTAAAAGATTCGTCAGGTGTGAAATCCCATTGTATTAGAGGAATCAGGGAGGCCACAATGACCAAAATAAAGAGTATTAGAGAACACACAGCAAAATAACTCCATGTCAAAATTCAAGTTACCCTCTTCCAAAAGATCAAAAACCCCCATCTGAGTAATAAACCCATATTTCAGAAAAACACGACACAAAAATGTCATGAAGCTAAAACACATGCAATATTCATGCATATCAAAGCAGCTAAAGCACGTGCGAACACACTGTAGCGTCACATGCAATAGCCATCGGTATAGGTGTAAATATGAAATACATGTGATAAGCAACCACCCACGCCTTGAGAGAAGCAAATCCTAACAATTAGATATTAAAGACTAGTACTAGTTGAGGTGATTACGATAGTGATGGTGGTGGAAACCTTGCAAGGTTATGCAATTGTCTTGCGAAAAACGTACTCTGCTTTCGTGTTGGGTTTGACAAGGGTCGAAGTTTCCATTAGATCCTTATCATTTAGCTCTTATCTACGTTAATTACAATTCATTTTCCTCTTTCTTTACATAAGCTAAAGTCTTTATGGACAACAAATTATGAATGATCAACTTGTTTTCTCCTCAAATTAATATGATGTCTCTAGGATTGTACATCAATTAACATAAATCTAGAGATTCAAGATCCAGAGTCCGAATGTTGCATCTAAAGTTAGAGAGTACGTCAGCATAATTATGCATAAACATACTCGAAAATAGTAAGTTTGTCGTCAATATTGCACCTCAATGCAATTAATTAGTTAATATGGGGCAATGATATGTTACCGCTAGCGATACACGGCATTGCTCTACAATTAAGCTATATTATTCCTACGAATGGTTAGTTCTAGACCTCTCATAATTTCATCTACTCGATACTATGTGATAGAACATCAAGCGAACTAATATGTCACACCATCGTCAATAAGAAAAGCGCAAAGCAATTTTCCAGGTCTTCAGCACATCATAGTTGTGAAGTTCTTCCCACCAACGATCATAATTTGTTCACCTCTTTTGATTTTATTGACATTGAGAGGGATAAGAGAGAAGAAGCTTCAAACACTTGCATCTTAAAGCAACACATGTGAAAGCTCAAAACCTAGAGTGAATCCAAGTAAGAAAATGATGCAAATTGCAATGTACTCCTCCTGTAGCTTCTCTTTTTTACTTTGCTGAATGCAAATAAATATCAGTTTATTAATTGAACGAATTGTGATATGAGTTGCAGAAAGTTTTACATGTTTAAATGTAAAGTTTCATCATATATATTTGACTCAAAGAAATTTCAAAAACATATATAAAGTTTGGATTAAGCCATTTGTACATTCTNTTGGATTAAACCATTTGTACATTCTTTTGTTGATATGAAGTTTGACATGTTTTGAAAATTCAAAGTGTTGTTGGCGGGAAAGTGTGTAATGTTTAAAAACTGGCTAACCATGATGCGACATGTGGCACAATGTCAAATTTAGTGTAAAAAAAAATGTACAAGTAGCATAATCAATTTGATAAACGGCCTATTCTTAGATAAAATTCCCATTCACTTCTTGGTATTTTACAATTTAAAACTAAGTCACATAGATTGAATGACATGTCTATCATTGACTAGACATGGAATGTTATGTGAGATGTGAAAATGTGGATATTGTTTGGAACAATGTAACTTAATCGTTTCTTCCTTAAAACTACTGCCAAAAATGTGTTCTATCTTGAAGCTCCATTAGAACACAATGGGTTTCCATTCCTTTAACATTTAATGGATCCCACGTGATTACATTCGACGTAAATTTCCTGGGATTTGAAATTTTGGGAAGTTTATGGAATAGCTAAGAGAAAAAAAAGTAACAACTACATAATTGGAAGATACTAATGTTAAAAACATGCCACACTTTCTTCTAATTTACAGTCGGGCATCTTTAACTACACTTTGTCAATGCTAAATAATTAGCTAGTTCATTACCTTGAACGAACTAGCATACTGTAGTTTATTCAATAATATTATGTCGCGCATGAATTTATTTTATTTTTATCTTTTTTCAGATTCCAAAAGAGAGAAAACCGTAAAGGTTGTCATGCTAAGTTTTTAATTGATAACCTGCCGGAGCAAATTTACTTCTAGAAACTGAAACTCAAAGGTTAAAATTGCCTGCATATGATTTTCGTTGCTGGAGTGAACATTGATTCAGACTGATTTATTTAATTGTTCAAGTTTTTAAAATTTAAAAGCCCACCTGGCCAAATTATGTTTTGCAGGCTAACTACTTTTGGTCAAAATTAACCACATGTGAGTTAAAAAGCTTCAATCATTCATCTATTGAACAGCCATGACAAACTGCAATTCCCAGCATCGCAGAAGGCAAACCCTGTGCACCGCAGAAGTCCCATATGAAGGCGTATAATAGTAGAAAAGAAAGTAGAGTTCAAGAGAATGGACATGAACAGAAAATTCAACTGAAAGTATAATAAGCAAGAACAAGGAAATGATAGAGAAATACATATTAACATTGAAGAAAGAGGAAAACATACTCTGTGGCAAAAACAGATCAAACATCCTCTCTTTTCTAACTAAAGTAGTCAAACTGAAATCCAGCTTCGAACACGCAATAAGCATATTGGGGTCCTTGGTTCCATTGAACAAATTGAGCAGAAATACGAAGATATTGAGAAATAATAAATGTGCACATTGATCTATTGCCCCGTCTTTCATTCTCTTCTAGTTATCTTGTAAAGTGACTCTAAAGACGTATTCATTTTCTTAACACGTGTGGTTCTCCTACAAGTGCATTAACATAATATGCAAATTAGGAGGGACATTCATTATAGCCTGAATACTCAAAACCAAGGCGAATAAGATAAAGAACAAAATAAGAACAATTAAGTGCAGATACACTTAACTGCTAGATGTCTTCCTCTTCTTTCTTAACTGCTTGATAATTTATTCAATAGTACTTCTCAATCTTCTGTTAGAGAATATTAATACTATCGAAGAAATCTTTTAATTTATAAACCTAATTGATTTTGATTTCGACAAAAAAATTTCCTTTATCCATTGATACCTCTGTGAATCCAGTCACCGAAAAAAATAAGTATCGCTGTGCGGTACTTAAATGCGGTTGCGCGAAGAAAGTGGATATGATCAGTCATAAAAATCTCTTTCTAAAGGACATGTTGATCGGTCCATAAAGTTTGTGTGGCTCTTAATCAATGCCTTCTTTACCGAGAAATAACATTTTTAAGAAACTTATATACATCCCACTTTTGAACACAAGCACCAAACCCCATCAAGCAGCGTATTATTTTCTGTATCACCTCAATGCTGCATAAAACTCACGAACATAAATAACAAAACCCACAAAGCAATGAAAAAGTATCAGTTCAGGATAGGTGAGAAAACTATATGCCAAAAACTATAAAAATATTACTGAGAAGACAAATCAGATAAATGAGCTCATAGACTAACCAACAAAAATATAATTGTGATAGGAAGACTACATAGTGTGAATGCTCAAAGCGAATGCTGCTTTTAAAACAGAAGGACCATATTATATACCAAGGATGCTTGACTTCAAAATCTACACCTATCTGATACATGCGAGGGCAAGAATCCTAAACTAAGAATTAGTGATTCTAGAGTAAAATAATCTAAAAGAAAAAAGAAACAATATTCTTGAGTTAAGGCTACACTTCGTGGCAGGAAGATATTAGATATCCACCTCAACTTAGGAAATCCAAGGTGTCACACATGCAATGAGGCTTAAATCGTATCTGTTCATCGAAGGCTTGAAGATGACCTTAACAAACATAAACCAGGGGTTCATGCTTAAAAACATTACCAGTGAAGTAAGCGTCATAGCTCCTGTAATCAGCGTAGTACAACTAAAGCGTTCCACACGAGAGCATACAGCCACCCCTAAGTTAACTATAAAATATCAACTTGCTACATTAGAGAAATTAAGTGCCTAAATTAGTGAAGTTTTCTCAAATGAAAAGGCTAGGGTAAGTTAACATAGGGTCGTGGTTTCCTTATTGGGGAAAGGAGATCCACCTAAGATTAGACTAGCTACGTATCCTAAGGAGAACGCCTAACTAATCCAGCGGTTCAGATAAAATTCAATAGGATTTTGGATAACATAATTAACATTCAATAGGGTTTCTAAAATTCAAGTGATTTTCTACAACTGCACCAATCAGTATCTTTTGAAGGCTTTCATATGGTTCATTGGGATTCATGGTCTACCTAGATGCCAGTCTTTACTTGTCTACACATTGTAGATCAGACGGTTCTTATCCTTGTGCACCAACATGCTATCGTTACCTAAACTTGAAACCAGACCGAATATTGTGAGTACAACCACACATGAACTTTGGATTTCGTTCTGTAAAACAAGTGCACTGGATAAAGATAGTGCAAACCCAAAACAATATTAGTGCATAGGAATGGAGACTGAAGCGGTGAGAAGTGCATCACCTCATGAAGTAGACCTTTTTTGAAATTATAGACAGTCTTAAGAATTATTCATGGAACGTGCGTGAAAAAATCACAAGTCTTTTACGTAAACAAAACAAGCTTGTCCATATCCCTTTCACCAAACTGGTTCATGTTGAATTCCTGAGGGAAACTTTATAATATATCTCTTTCCATTTAGATACATAGACATTTTTCATTGCCTCCTATATGTTGGAGAATTTGCTTACATGGAAAGACTTGATTACATTCAATGCATATCTAACATCAACAAGCAGGAGAGAAGCTATAGTACTAATTCTGATAAAGTGCGACTTGATTGATAAATTACATAAGCAACAACAAACAACATTAAGAAATACCAGTCCAAATCCAAAGTATAACAAGGTAATTTCTTAATATTCAGCAACTAGAATCATTATACAGATGAAAGTTTTCGTTTACTGCTACAACTAGATTCCACCTTTGCCGCATCAACAGGTACAGTGTCCGTCATGACCTTTGGGACGGTGAAACTGAAATCTGAGGTAGACAAATCCTTGTACTCCGGATTTTCTTTCAGGAGTAATGCAACTTCAGTACCTGCCCTCAATTTCCTCCCATTGGGGGAAAAATAGTAACAATCAAGTTTTGAAAAATCTTTCCTCAGCACCAATTCTCTCTGGAATCCAGGAGGGGTTTTGGGCAGATTTGGCTTGTCGATGACCCATACACATGAATTATCATACTCCATATCAGCAGGATCATCGCAAGAAACGTTGGATTTTTTACTGCAGACAAATGGATCTTCAACTATTTTTCTTCTGATTTCCTCGTACTCTTCTTGGTTTGGTATTATCCTCCACTTGAGGCAATCCTCACATTGCACACTCCAAACATCAATAGAGTTGCGAGGTACCACTGTGCGAGCCGCCTTAGAACGCTGAAACAATAGGCAAAATTTCGGCAAAATATAAATGGTCGAACTGATTAATCTAATTTTATTTTGTTGGGGATATTCATAAAACTTGCAGCTGCAGAAAGGGGTGGAAAAAACAAATAGTATCTACTATTAGAAACAGCCCACCAAGAGAATAAGAAATCGAAACAAAATACTGCAAGAAAAAAAATCAATGAAATGTAGATTTTCTGATTAGCAGATGGATGTATGTGTTTACATATGTCAAAATCAAGAGAAATGTCCTAGGGTTTAGAAACAAGACTCGTTCACCACATAGAAAAATATAAATAAGATGCTGACTCCAGGAAAATCTCTATAAAAATTAAATTGTTTCATATACATTTGTATATACTAAAATCAAGACAAATCCCTCAGGGTTTAGAAAAAAAGAACCCAAAAAAAGAAAGAGGATTCTGAATTCCCAAAAAAAAACAGAGGATTCTGACTTTCTCTTCGGAAACATCATTTACTGTACAAAATTAAACAGGAGAATTTCTTTAACGGTGCAAATCATGTATAAAACAAGAAGGATACCTTCATCGGTGTTTTCTCGGCCTTGATCTCCATCGTCGAACTGTCTGAATTTTCTCTCCTCTCTCGATCGGTGGATTTTCTTCTCTCTTCACTCCCTGAATGCCTGAACTCGCTATACATGGGCTATTATTCATCCAGGAGATTAATAGAATACTTATTCAGGGAGTCGACTTTCTACAAATTGCCAAAAAGTATCCCTAGTTCAAATTTTTTTCGCTTCAGCCCCTATACTTTAGCTAATCCAATTTTGGTCGCAACAGTGTTTTAGCTTATATATGACTAAATAAATTTCTGGTAAAATGCATTTATAGTTAAAAAAAAAATGGCACGTTATCAAACATACGTTGAAACAGATAAATAAACATCGTCCTTTTTGTGTACCATCATGCAAAATTTATAGGTCATCAACTTGAACAATAAAATTCACTTATCGATCCTGGTCCAAAAACGTGATCAATCAGGGCCCTACTGATTAATGAAAGGAAGGGCTTGGATTACAATCATTGAATCATTGTTTAGTAAAGATTAAAATCAGATTTCTAGGGTTATTCATATAGAATTTAATTCACTTTATTCATGGTAAGATAATAGATAGTATCTATGAGTTTGAGTATTTTTGACGTGTCAAGATCACTTAATATGGTCATATGCTGAATTGAGTTGAGAGTTCAATGTAAAGGAAGTAGCAATTGGGTATTGTGATGAAATCGTTATCCTATATTAAAAATGTTAAAAAAACCTGTTTAGATTTTTTGCTGAATGATTTTAATGAGTCGAAGAGTTAGTGATGCTTAATGCTTGTGATTTGGTCATAAGAAAAATTGTTGGAAGGGCAACACAATCATTTTAGCTCAAGTCTGATTATTGAATATTCGACGGATAAGACAAAAGGTTGGTAAGTCTAGCGATATAAATGAAGGAAAACTAGCTTATGTGATTTTATGTAATTCAAGGATGTAGTGTCTGACTTTTAATGATGTTAGCCAACAATAATAGTTCGAGTGTGGAACTGTGGAAGTATGGGGTCGACACGAATGAGTCTAATTATAGAAACTTATATTATGTATGTCCGATTTTATCCCTTTAGCCCTCAAAGTAAGACGATGACTCAATTACACAAGTAATTGAAGCTCAAGCTCCATCAGGTCGAAATTGGGTTTGACGAAGTCATAAATCAAATTTCAAGTTGATTAGGTCTTTTGTGAATCTAAACATACCTAGATGTCCTAATTGAACTGGAATTGAAACAAGATGGAGACATGGGCAATATTACAATGTCCGGTACTCGAAAGGGATAATGACCTGTCAATTCCAAGTCTCAGCCATTATTAAAAATTAAACATTGAAGAAAAAGATACAGACGGACTATCACTGTCAGCAGTCCTCGCGTCAACCGCATAGCCAACTAATGACATGTCAATCCAAGTCTCAGCTTCGTGCACTTCCACGTAGGCTTGTACAACCGTTTGCTCTCCGAACCTCAATAAACAAACAAAAACCCCACATTTTTCTCCGACAAACCCAGAGAACTCGACAAGAATCAAAGGCATTTTCTCATTTTTGCCGTTTGATTTCACCTGAAGCCACTCTCTTTCTACAATTTTGGATTCTGTCTCCATTGAAGAACTTCCTGAAATCATTTATAAACCCTGATTCTATAGCATTCACTGAAAAAAAATGAGTTGCCTGTTGAAGAAAAGGAAGAACTATTGGTTTGTATTTCTATTCCATTTGATTTTAATTTTTAGATTCAGCTTTTTCACAGATGCAATTTTGGACCCGGTTGATTTCCTGGCCCTGCAATCGATTCGAAAGAGCTTGGATGATTTGCCTGGGTCGAATTATTTCGCTTCATGGGATTTCACTTCGGAGCCGTGCAGTTTTGCGGGTGTGTATTGTGATGGAGGTAAAGTGGTTGCCTTAAATCTCGGCGATTCTCGGGCTGGGTCACCGGGTATAACTGGCCAGATAGACCCAATGATCGGAAAATTGTCGGGTCTCGCAGAGTTAACCATAGTCCCTGGTCGGGTCAATGGGTCTCTGCCTCGAACCCTGTTTCAGTTGAAGAACCTCAGGTTTCTTGCAATAAGCCGGAACTTGATATCCGGAGAGATTCCGGAGACTCTTGGCCAGCTCCGAGGACTCCAAACTCTAGATCTTAGCTTCAACCAGATCACCGGAAGCATTCCCTGGTCCATCGGAACCGTACCGACGTTGTCCAACGTTATTCTCTCTCACAATAGTCTCTCCGGTTCGGTTCCGCCGTTTGTTTCCCAGTCCCTAACCCGGCTAGACCTCAAGAACAACAATCTATCCGGTTTGCTCTCTCCGGTTTCACTCCCTCCCTCACTCCAATATCTCTCTCTGTCTTCAAATCGACTAGCCGGTCCAGTGGACCGACTATTATCCCGGCTAAACCGGCTAAACTTTCTCGACCTTAGCGTGAACCAATTCTCCGGCTGCATTCCGAGCAATATATTCACATTTCCAATCACAAGCCTCCAACTACAAAGAAACCAATTTTCCGGTCCGGTTCAACCAGTAGATGAGGTGACAATTACCAGCGTTGATCTAAGCTTCAACCGGCTTTTTGGCCAAATATCTCCCAAGCTCTCAACGGTTCAGAATTTGTATCTGAATAATAACCGGTTCACAGGCCCGGTTCCCAGCAACTTCGTGGAACGGCTATCAGCAGGGAGTATACAGACACTGTATTTGCAGCATAATTTTTTGACCGGGATCCAAATTAATCCAACGGTTGAGATTCCTCTTAGCAGTTCATTGTGTCTACAGTATAATTGTATGGTTCCGCCCGTAGATGCGCCTTGCCCTGTGAATGCTGGGACCCAGAAAACAAGGCCCTCTACACAATGCATAGAGTGGGAAGGGTAAAATGAGGAATTCATGTTCTGCAACAGGGACAGAATGGGAAATGTGTAATATGTTATGTAAGTTTTTGGAGGAAATACCGTTTAATTCATTTATTTGATTGTAGGAAATAGCTTATTATTCATTTATTTGATTATTCATAGATAGAAATCAGATTGCCAATCTATTTTGTAGAGTGATTAGTAGAATCAAAATCGTGTTTGAAGTTCATTTGCGTAAATTCGTATTGAAGTAAACATTATATGATCGAAATATTGTACATCACCCTAACCTTAAAATTGCCTCATCGTTTTGGAATCTCGGACAATATAAGGGTTCGTTTGGTTTTCGTTTTTGTTTTCTAAAGAAAAATTTTCGAAGAAATTACATTAATTTTTGTTTGAAAATTAATTTTTTTTTAAAGAACCTTCTATTTCCAACGTACTTTTAGAGGAAATTACATTGAATTAAATTCTTCTGAAAGCTCTTCTAATTAAAAGAAATATTTTCATAAAATTAATTAAATAGATTCAAAAGCTTTTTTTTTTTTTTTTTAATTCATGTCAAAAGGGTCTTAACAATTATTGAAACTTTTTTAAAGTTTGGCTTACATTTAAAGCTTAAAAAGTTTCTTTTTAATTAAAATAATTAGTTTTATTCATTAAAGTGAAAAATAAGCAAGTGGTTTATTTTAAAGTATGGAGTACCCCGCTTGATGGTTATTATTTGAAAAAAATAATGGTTTGAATAGTAATTTTTAGAAGAATATGTAGTTAAAAAGTAAGAAATATTTGGATTTACGTTCAAAATATTTTATTGTGTGAATGTGTAGTTAAAAATTAGCATATATAAAAATTAGTTTTCAAATAATAGTCATCAAAATTTCATTTTTAATTCTATCGACCTTTTTTAATTAAAAAAAAAGGTCATATAATATGACGTAATTATTAGATGGTTATTAAATGATAATTGAGTATATTCTCTCTCATTTTATCACTTCAAAAAAAAAGATTTCTTTCTTCCATAAACGTTCTCAAACTGCTTTAACGTTGAAATAGAAAATTGATTCATAAACATCCATCAATATGGCGTCATTTTTTTCAGAATTGTTTAAGAATTTTGCCACAATTATTTCATCATTTCGTCGTAATTTCTTCAATGATTTTTCATTTTAAGTTGAAGCCGGAAATCAATTATTTTCAATCACATGCATCGACTAATAATTTTTTCGATCACAAATTTGAAATTTGCACTACGCTGCAGCCATGTTTGATCCACATTCTTGAAAAATGCATTCTTCCTCTACTCATTTTCAATCGCACATTCATTAATAAAATAATATTACACGCAAATTCAAAAAAAATTTAAACATCATACAAATGTGACCTATCACAAACTTGACATTTCTTGACATGTGGCTCTTAGAAAATATGACTCTTTATAAAAGTCGACTTTCAATAATTATGGCTCTTCACAAATGTAACTCGTCACAAACGTGAAATGGTAACTCGTCACAACTGTAAGGTTGATACAGTATAATTTTGTCTCCTATTAATTGATTTGAGTTTTGAATCTGACTAATGCATGATTTGTTTGAGGATAAAACTGTTTGAACAGGAGGGGACGTCGACCATGGATGAACTGTACCGATGTGGCCATATTCATCTAGCACGACCCTTTGTTTGATAATGTATATATTTTATGAAAATATATATTAATATATTCTTACTAAAAATGTATGTTAATATGCTAAATATATATATAAAATGATAGTTAAATAATTAGTACCTGATTCTTGAGTAAAAACTTTGTTCGAACCCCATTTTGGGAAAAAATGTGCTTTGAAATAGTAATTTTTTGAAGAATCTGTGGTAAAAAAATGAGAAAAAATTTCGATTTACGTCTAAAATAATTTTATTGAAAAATATGTGGTTGAAAATGAGTTTTCAAAAAATGGGAATCAAAGAAGAGCAAAATTTCTGATAAAATGATTATTGATAATGAAATCTTAAATTCATGATTTCCGATAATTTCTCCAACTTTTATGCAAGCACGATAATGCATGGGCATGTGAGATAAGAATAATACTCCTTAGACTCGACAATGACATGGACGGGGTGACAAGGGTGGTGTTGCAGATAGCGATTGGGTGTGTGTGTATATATATATATTTTAAAATTGTTCAATCATATATTGACACATGTTCACTTTATCATTGAACCTGACATTGCAGTAAAATTGGTGGGATAAATTTTGACTAGCCATGTTATACGTACACCTTGATTTACACTTCTATGTGTTGGCAGATTTGGACATGATGCTACCAAAAATCGTACCAAATTTCTTCAATGATTTTTCATTTTGGGGTGAAGACGGAAATCAATTATGTTCAATCACATGCATCGACTGATAATTTTTTCGATCACAAATTTGAAATTTGCACTACTCTACAGCCATGTTTGATCAGCATTCTTGAAAAATGCATTCTTCCTCTACTCATTTTCAATCGCACATTCATCAGTAAAATAATATTATATGCAAATTCAAAAAATTTTATTATTTTTGTACCACGTATTTTACATCCCATCACTTGAAAACATGCATTCTTTTCTCCCCAATGTGTATCAAACATAGCTTGTCACTGTTCCTCTAGTTAGAATTTTAAACATCATACAAATGTGACCTATCACAAACTTGACATTTCTTGACATGTGGCTCTTAGAAAATATGACTCTTTATAAAAGTCGACTTTCAATAATTATGGCTCTTAACAAATGTAACTCGTCACAAATGTGAAATGGTAACTCGTCACTATTGGAAGGTTGATACAGTATAATTATGTCTCCTGTTAATTGATTTGAGTTTTGAATTTGACTAATGCATGATTTGTTTGAGGATAAAACTGTTTGAACAGGAGGGGACGTCGACCATGGATGAACAGTATCGATGTGGACATATTCATCTAGCGCGACCCTTTGTTTGATAATGTATATATTTTATGAAAATATATATTAATATATTCTTACTAAAAATGTATGTTTATATGCTAAAATATATATAAAATGATAGTTAAATAATTAGTACCTGATTCTTGAGTAAAAACTTTGTTCGAACCCCATTTTGGGAAAAAATGTGTTTTGAAATAGTAATTTTTTTAAGAATGTGTGGTAAAAAAATTAGAAAATTTTTCGATTTACGTCTAAAATAATTTTATTGAAAAATATGTGGTTGAAAATGAGTTTTCAAAAAATGGGAATCAAAGAGGAGCAAAATTTCTGATAAAATGATTATTGATAATGAAATCTTAAATTCATGATTTCCGATAATTTCTCCAACTTTTATGCAAGCACGATAATGCGTGGGCATGTGAGATAAGAATAATACTCCTTAGACAGGACAATGACATGGACGGGGTGACAAGGGTGGTGTTGCAGATAGTGATTGGGTGTGTGTGTATATATATTTTTTAAAATTGTTCAATCATATATTGACACATGTTCACTTTATTATTGAACCTGACATTGCAGTAAAATTGGTGGGATAAATTTTGACTAGCCATGTTATACGTACACCTTGATTTACACTTCTATGTGTTGGCAAATTTGGACACATTAATTTTAAAACAAAAATGCTACTTGTATATCAAGAATTGTACGTCAAGGTGTACACCACACTCACATGGGGATGTGATTCACTTGTGTAAAATATTTTTTTATTCAAACGGGCCCCACCCCCATGTGAGTGTGATGTACACGCCGATGTACACATTGATGTACCAGTAGCAAAACCGATTTTAAAAACACCTCATTCAATGAATGGTTAGATTTTTAGACGCATAAAAAGTGCGTCAACACGGTGCAGCCTATGTGAGGAGTGAAGCCACTGTACTACCATATTATTCTTGATCGCTATTAATTCGACAACGGTCGATAAGCAGCCTGTATTCAATTTTGACAAGCCCAACAAAAGCTCTGAAGAATACCCGATAATTCCGGATTGCACTTGCTCCCATTTTTCCTCGTCACTTCCAGTCGTGATCTGTGATTTATCAAAACCCTAATTTTATATAATCCCCGAATTCAGAATATGAATAAAAGACTCATATTTTTTTTCTTACAGTGACGAATCGATTGTGGAGAGTATTTCGACTTATCCAAATGGAAATTTTCCTCTACAGATGCCGAAAAATTACTCCTTATTCATTCAAAACCCAATTAATAAACCTTAAGCCCTCAATCCAAGTATCTTTTATCCGAAATTATTGCAACTCTAATAAAACAATATGGTCAGATATCATAGCTTATTCAAAGGTCAAGCAAAATTTGAAGGACAATGTTTCAAAATTGAAAGACGATATTTTGATGCAAAATGATGATGTGGAGAAGATAGGGAAAGTGTTGGAAGAAAATGGGGTGGCGTTGTTTAGGAGTTATTCTGATCGATCCTCTGTAGTGGAACTCTACTCTCAGCTAAAAGCTTCGCCCCATTTAGCTTTGGAGGTGCTTCTCTTTGTTTCTTTATACTCTTTTCGTTCATAGTAGTGAATATTTAGTACGTGACAATTGTTTGAATCGATTGGTGTTAGGTTTCTTTTTTTTTTGCTTGACTATGTACTTTGTCATTGATTGATGAATTTTGTAATTAGGATTACATTGGGTTCTTAATAACACAAGTTGGCTACATGAAATGCTTAATGGCAGATATTAAATTGGCGAAGGAAACATTTGGATTATGCCTCTCCTATGACCACAGAGGAGTATGCAAAGGGAATTAATATGGCTGGTAGATCAAAGAATGCTGATCTGGCAATTGAGCTTTTTAACGAGGCTGCCAATAAACAGCTAAAAGCAGCATCTATATATAATGCACTCATGAGTGCTTACACGTGTATAACGGTTTGGCTATTAAATGTCAGTCATTATTTCAGCAGTTGAAGAAGGAAACCACGTGTACACCGACAATTGTAACATATAACATTCTTATATCCACTTTTGGCCGTTTGATGCTCATAGATCATATGGAGACAACTCTTAGAGAGACAAAGGATTTAAATCTCTCCCAAACTGTCAATACATACAATGGTCTAATCGCTGGGTATGTTACAGGATGGATGTGGGAAGAAATGGAGAATACTTACAGGATCATGAAGGTAAGTGATGTCAAACCTGATCTGGACACTGATTTGCTGATGCTTCGAGGATATGCTCACTGCGGTAAGCCGGAAAAGATGGAACAGATCTATGAGATCGTAAGAGATCATGTCAATCAGAATGAAGTTCCGTTGATTAGAGCCATGATATGTGCATATTGTAAGAGTTCTGATGTTAATAGAGTTAAAAAGATTGAGGAATTGCTCAGACTAATCCCAGAAAATGATTATAGACCTTGGTTAAACGTGCTTTTGATTTATGTTTATGCAAGAGAGGATTTATTAGAGCGAATGGAAAATGCAATCAACCATGCGTTTGAACATAATACCTCTGTCACAACAATTGGTGTGATGCGATGCATTATTTCAAATTATTTCCGACACAATGCTGTGGACAAGCTTGCTGGTTTTGTGAAGCGTGCAGAGTTGGCTGGCTGGAAAATCTGTCGTTCTCTTTATCATTGCAAGATGGTTATGTATTCAGCACAGATGCGCATTGCTGAAATGGAGAGGGTTCTTGATGAGATGGATAGAGTGAATATGCACTGCTCAAAGAAAACATTTCGGATATTGCGTAACGCCTATTCCAGGTGGGGTCAAAGAAATAAACTTAAGCAGGTTTTAGGGATGATGTGCAAGCATGGATATGGGATTTCTTTGGATGCATGAAGCATAGAAATGCTTCACTTGAACGACAATTGTTGAAATTATTAGGTACGATTGAGCTAGTAATAGTTCATAATCATTCTGTCAGAGAGATGAACAATGAGTTTCATCAAACTTGAAGGTAAAGTTCTCCTCTGTAATCCTGCCATATTTAGATACCTCATTTTTTATTTTGACACTTAAGTATGTGTGTTTTAGTGATGAAATGGTTTATGACATTTACTGGAGAATGAATGATAGTATAGTGGTTTTATTTCATGAGACTGCAGGAACCAATTGTAGTTAGACTATATGTACATGTAGCTGTGTATCTTTGGCCTTGTAGAATAGATAGAAAATTTTCAAAATTTGATTATTAGGTTATCTGCTGTGGATCTTGTGCTTTACCATGTGGCATTCTTTAATGGTAGTAGTTGTGAATAAAGTATCATCTCAGATGGCTTTCAACATTATTAACAAACGTCGGAACAGATTTGTTGAAGAGCAGAAATTTGTATTTTTTATTATACCCTTAATATGGTCAGAAATCCACCAAGCAGTCTTTGACTTTCGTTGCTAATGAGTGAATTTTGAGGTGATCCATCAAAATGATCTGATTTTTACGTATGCTAAATTTTGAGTGCTATTTTGGTTTAACCATCTTGTGTAGACAGGTCCTATTCTCATAATGATGGTTGTTAAAGCTCACCAACAAATGAAAGGTAAATATTTGATTTTTCACCTCAAATCAGACCCTTTTTCTTAACAAATCACAACATTAGCCAACAGAAATCTGAAAACCACTAGATTAATAGCCAAAAAATAGAGAAATCATCAAAATTTCCCAACTATTGATTCATTAACACTTCATCACT